GAGTACTTGTGCAGTGCGTTGAGGATGGTGAGAGCGCGCTGCATCTGGCCCTCCGCCACCCACAGCGTGGCCAGCTTCATGTTGGTCTTGAACCAGAGGCGATCGTTGGGGTGGGTGCGCAACGCCTCCAGCGTGGCCGCGTAGAAATCGCGGAGCAGGGCCGCGTCGGGGCTGGCTCCCACGCAGTCCAGCACCGAGTTAAGCTTCTTTTCCGCCGCGGCGCGGGAGATGGAGGGCACCGCGGCGGCGTCCAACAGGCGACGGTACGCGGCCAGCATGTCCTCTGATGCGCCGCGGCGAAAGTGCACCTTCACGATCTGCTTCAGGGCCTTGAAGGCCCTGGTGGATCAGAGGGGAGGGAGGATTTTGGGGCAAGGGTGAGGGGCCCTTCCAGAGCGCGAGACGGCGGGATGACCAGCAAGAGCATATGATGAACATCTTGCACCAGGAGATGCCACATCACCCGCAATGCAGCCAGCTACTATTTTATGCCGGATCCCTTTGCATGGACCATGGATGCTGCAACTCCACAGCACCCACCCCTCCACCCCGCCCAACCCTGAGGCCACCCAGCGCACCACTTCTCGCGGTCCTCGCACTCCATCTCCAGGACCTGTTGGAAGCCGGCCAGCGCCTCGTCGAGGCCGTCTTCCGTCTCCAGGAGGCCCTTGCTGTTGTAGTACTGGTTCTCCACATCCACCTGGGCGGGCGGGGGGCGGGTCAAGGTGTGCACAGGTTTTTGGTGTTTGCAGGAGGGTGCAAGATACACATCCATTCCGGGAGCATATGCCCCAGCCAAGCTCCTCCGCTCACATCCTGCTCCTCCATCTCATCCTCTGAGTAGTCGAAGCCATAGTCTGTGATGTGGGTGGAGAGGGGCAAGAGGGTCATTGAGCCAAAGCCACACCAGGCTTGCACGGAGAAAGTTGTGCTTTCCAAGGGTGCTCAGCACGCTCATGCAATGCTCAGGGGAGTGGATACTTTCTACAACGACCAAGGCTTCACCTTCCATGTCGCTGTCGTCTGCGATGGGAGAGGATGGGTGATGATCAGCACGGACCAGGAGCAGTCATGCGAGGCACGGAGGCCGACCGGGCATGGCACCTCCACGCACCATCCATGGCTAATGTCGATTTGCGGTCGCTTCAGACTACAATGTGTACATGAATCTGGGGTCCAAACGTACTGCAGAAGATAGCGTGCCAGGGCCCCGGGACCACCTGGATCAGTCCCGGCAGGCTGAGGAGCAAGCCGCACCTAAACCTCAAGGGTACGAGCTCTCTCTCCTAATTGATTTGAGAAGATTCAATCATCACCCTCTCTGGTGGGATGCGCTGCCTGAAGAGGAGAGCATCGAGATCTGGGTAAATCGCGCGCGCTCCCAACCTCGACAGGATCTTCCGGCACATTAAGATGAGCACACAGAGTTTACCACCAGCAAGCAGGATAGTATCAAGCATTGGTGTAACAGTGCCGCGCAGGGCACAGTACAGTGCCACTCAGGGCGCTTTGATGCCTGACTCGCAGGTAAACCTGAAGCTCCTGCCCTCGAACGCCCCGCCTCTAAGAAACAGCCTCCAGGCCTCATCCTTGGTCTTGATGTGGCTGCGATGGCAGTGGGGCACGGCAGGTTGATGCTACGGCATCAGGGCCCGCTGCACATGACTTTGGCGCCGGCTGACAAGGAATTCAAGGCCCGCACACAGAGCCTGGGTCTTCTGGCTCAGGCCAAGATCCCTGGAGCCGAGCACATCCATCCTGCAAACCTCCAAGCAACTAGGCAGGACCCCATGCCCCTCCCTTCCCAGCCCCTTTTTCCCTGTCTGCACCTCAGGTCGCTGTTCTGGGCCAGGTAGTATTCGAAGTCGAAGCACTCCGGCCCGCGCTGGAGCAGGTACCCGATCCTCTGCTCCCGAAACGGGGCGGGGTTGGCCCTGTACGCATTGGACAGCACATCCAGGCTCCCAGAGGCCTGGGTGGGTGGGGAACGGGTGCGGGGGATAGCAGGTGTGGGGATACGTGACCATCCAGCTGTGATCAGAGTCATGGGGTGCAAAGTAGTGCATCAAGACACTTTCCCAGTCCCTACCATTCGCTCACCTGGTCGGTGATGACCCGCGACATGTACACCGCCGACTGGGCAAACGACCATTCGTTCTGCAGCACCCGCTCCTTGACCTTGACAAACATCACCTCATAGGGGTCCAGCGACTGCCCATCCATGTAGTGCTCGCCATACGGATTTGCTCTGCAAGGGGGTGTTGACAGGAGCGGGAAGAGGTGGAGGCGTGCAAAAAATTCTCTGTGCCTCTGATCTGGGAATTGCCCATTAGGTCAACCCATTGCTGTAAGGCCTGGCATGAAGCATCCTAGACGATGCTTGCCAGAATGCAGGATGGTGTGCCTGGCCCTCCAAGAATATAGCAGCTGAACGCCTTGCAACCAGCAGCAGACAGGCCCATGTTATGCAGACACGAAAGCCAGTCCAGATGGTGAGCTGAGGCGCTTAGGGCCGCACAAGGCCCCTCATGGGCAATCTGCATTCCGTCCTGCTCAGTCCTCAACACCACCAACCCCTCCACCCCAGCCCCTTGCGCTCACTGCGCGTTGCAGGCCCAATTGGCGTGGTCCTGCCAGTCGACCCCCTGGTACCGCAGCATGAGCGAGTCGAGGTTGTAGCCGGCCTTCAGGATGGCCAGGGAGCTCCCCAGCTCGCCGTGCCAGATAACATCCCACATGCTGTGCCAGCACTGGAAGACCTTGGCATCCTGGAGCCAGATCCGCAGGCCGACCTGGTATGATGTCAAGAGAGGGGGTGGGGTGGGGGGGAGACTCAGGCAATGGCTGGTCGTAGTATACATTTAGGACAGTCCCTCATAAAAACTCTGAGCTTTCACATTGTGAATTGGAACCTCAGAGGGGCGCATGCCCTGCACACTGCAGGTCGGCGAGAGCACTGTCTCCTTGGGCACCCTGCAACAGGGAAACCCCAGCTTTATCACACCTGGTCGGTGGCCAAGACATAGGACTGGACGTGGGGGTTGACGCGCCACTTCTCCCTCACTCGCCCGCCTGGCGGGGACCCCTCGCAGCTGATGGTGGGGCCGACCAGTTTGACCCTCGCATCGATCCTGCCAATCAGAACGTCCTGCCACTTGATCATGTCCTGCAGGCGGTCGAGCAGATGTTGGAGTGACGAACAGCACTGGCGCCTGCATCAGGCCGGCGAGAAATGCCATCATACTGCACACCTTGGCGTAGGGCGGGATGAAGGGCCCCCTGACGGAGCTGTTCATGAAGATGAAGAAGGAGTAGGGCCGGGTGTCCACCCCCGCGACGTTGATCGCCCATCCGATGGTTCCCCAGTCGTAGCATTCGTTGGCGTGGTGCAGGTAGCGTGCGTTCGGCGGCAGGTCTGGCAAGTCTGGCGTCTGTGATGAGGGGGAGGGGTGGGGGTGAGATGGCGGGGTGGGCAGGAAGGGCCCAGACCTCTCCTGGAAGTACTGCCCTACGCACCCTCCCCATCCACCAGCTCACCGCTTTGTCGGCATCGGTCTGCACCACGATCACGTAGTCGCAGCGATCGTCTTTGGAGATGGCGAATTGGACGAAAAATCTCAGGTTTGTGATGTACTCAGGGTCGGTGTTGGAGAACACGTACATGACCAAGGTGTCCTTTTTCCCACCGGCCCATGCATTGCGAACGGGGTTCTTCGCATCGCTTTTAGAATGGAGGATGGCATAGCGTACGACAGAGCTGATCAAGAGAATGGCAGCTACGGCCAGCAGCACGAGGTGGTGTAGAGAGCGACGTCTTTTCGAAGTCCTCGGGACGATCGGATCCACGGCATCCATAAAAGGACTTCCCACGCGTGATGCAGTAGGAGTTGACCTCCGCGCCAGGTTCATGTATCACTCTGCACCGCGTAGGGGCTTGAGATCTGGTGTGGCACTGTCCAGCCTGTGCTCCGCGAAATCCTGCTCATCGCTTCATTGTACTCAAATTGCAAAAAGTAATCGCGCTCGTCCTCAGAAGTTATGGTATGGAACGACGTGAGTTGCCGTGTTGCAGATGAAGCGCTCTACCGGGCGCGCAATCTCTTGTTTCCACTGTCCGCATGTTTACTAAGCAGAGTAACAGGCGGACCCTACGGAGCCTTCTGTTCCGTGGGCAAATGTGTGCAGGGCCCATATTGTTTTGCAATCAGAACACTTGACAAGTCTCAATTCCAAGCTCAAGCAGCACTAAGATCGTCGCAATGGGATATGCAAACGATGCGCAACTTCCATCTCCATGAGGGTGTTCCTTTGGACCTACTCCATGTTAACAAACTTGCTCCTAGCTGGCATACTAGCCGTGCATATTGTCATTGATCATGAAGAGTCTCTCCCCGCCTCCCTGAGGGATACTGAATGAACAGCGTGCAGGAATGGCATGCACTTCTTGACCAAAGAGATGTGAGGCATATACACAACATCACAAATCTAGTGCATCACATGTGAATATACAGCACAAGATAGTTGAGCATGTCCCAGGCATCACTCGAGGTGTTGGCTGGGATCCCACGAGAGAGCTGTGGAATGCGAGTTTGGAATGGAGAACAAAAGGGATCTCCGATCTCGGGGTTTAGTACTCTCCGCGTGAGCAGTTACCCCTCGGAGAGGAGCTTGAAAACTAGTCACGGGACCTCCACCGTCCAGTGTCGCACTCATTCTGCTAGGTCCAGGAAGGGTGCTTCGCGGCAATTTGCTCGACGCGGGCTGGGGCCGTTATTGCCATGGCTTCGAAGCAGCAGAAGTATGCGAAGCTGGAGGTACGTCGGGGTCACCGAGGGGTGTTTGTGATCCGCATTGATCTTTAGATAGCGTCCAGACGAAGGAAATACCTCCCTCCGACTCCCCCCACAGGCCCACAGCGGGTACACGGGACTGTGGAAGACCGACCTCAGCAATGCCTGCATCGCCTCCCCCGGATGTAAGGCCCAGGTCTGTCTTGGGTGGTTGAACGAACCCCTGCAGAAGCCGACGGCGTGGCTTGCTCATCGTGCCCCACTCCGACTCCCACCACAGTCTGTTGCACCTCCATCTTCTGCTCCTGGTGTGTGTCGTACCACCTGCGCAAACGGGCCCTCCACAATGACATGACCAGGTGGGGTAGCATTGGTCGTACGGTCTGGCTGTGAGCAGACACAGGCACAGGGTCAGTTGCCTCCCCTCCGACCTGTCGTGGGTCCGTGCTGGGGGCAGGTTGGGAGCATGTCTGGCGTTGTGGCGGGTGATTCACAGCACAGATCCCGATCCCCATCCCCTTCAAGGTACCTGTGCTGCAATGGCGACTGGCCCTGCTCGGGACGGTGCGGCGAGCAGAGCTGCCCCGAGTTCTGCCTGTGCACTGAGGTCTTCTTCTGCTTCCCACAGGTGACTGTTGCTTGGCGGTGTGGGGTTCCGGGAGCAGTCCCCATGGCCGGCCCAGGCACCTGAATGCATGTGTTCCCAGACCGCCAGCAGCCGTGTGGCCTGCGGGCTTGCGCACGGTCCCTGCTCGCATACCTCACCCGCCCCAACTTCACGTTTCCGACACAGAGCGTGGCATCGACGCGCTGGATGCTGCAGGACGAGATGCGCCTGCAGAACACGGAGTGCGACAACTGCATCATCGGCACCATGTTTGCCGCCCAGTACCTCGCCTGCCTGTGCTGGGTGAGTCTGGGGACGCGGGCGGCCCACCTTCTGGGGGAAAGGGGGGCCATTGGCTGCAGGATGCGCGGTTCATGTCAGGCGTGAGGACAACTCTTCACGCTGCATCGGTCCATAGCTGTGCCTCTGGGTGGTTGCCCGGCGCCTGCGCAGGATCCGGCCCTCAGTGCTGCATATTGTCTGCCTGATCAAGCCTCCACATCAACCCAACCCTCAGATCGCGGCCTGCATCTCCGGGAACGACATCCTCAATGACCTGGCCATCCTGGCCGACAACATCGCCGACATCCTGTGGTGCTCGTGAGTTTTCTTGTTGCTTTTCCTTGTTCATAACTGTTTGGGAAAGAGTCCCTGCGTCGCAACCTGTGTCCTGATCAGGACCAGGGAGGTTGGTCTGAGGTGGCATCAGGAATGCGAGCGCCCAGGCCTGCCCTGCTGCCATTCACATGCCGTGCCCCTGCCGTCGTGGAGACCAAACTTGCAGCCCCCCCTCACCTCTGCTCCTCATTTCCCCCTCCCCAACCACCCCCCACCCCCCGGCCACGTGCAGCGTGTGCGCCTGCATGCAGACGCAGCATAAGGTGCAGATGGACGAGCGCGACACCAACCCGGCGGTGGGCATGCCCTACGCCGCGCCGCTGCCGCAGGCCATGGGCGCGCCGCCCCCGGCCCCGGCGTACAACACCTACACCCCGCCCGCGCAGCAGGGCTTTGGCGGGTACCCGCCTGCCCAGCAGTACCCCCCCCACCAGCCCCAGTACCAGCAGTACCCGCCCCAACAGCAATACCAGCAGTACCCGCCCAACCCGCAGTACCCGCCCAACCCGCAGTACCCGCCCCCCCAGGGCTGGAAGCAATAGGCCCCGGCACCCCGGATGCCCGCGCCCCCGCATCCCGAAATTCCAACACCCTCGCATCTGGAGGTCCCCACATTCCTCGACCCCAGATCCCCGTCCCCTTGCACGGCCCGCGCCCTGCATGCTTTTCCCGTGGCCCCCCCCCCTCCTTATGTATGCGCGCCCTGCACGGCTGTACAGCGCGCCAGGCACTCGAGTCAGGGCATGCCATCAGATGCTCTCTCATGTGCTCAGTCATGCGTGCAGTCAGCCCAGCACGCCCTGCATCACCAGCAGGCCCTCTTGCGCGGTGAGGGCCAGCAGCGCGTCGCCGTCGCCCACCAGCGCGGCCATGCCCGCGCAGGGCTCGCGGTACAGCTCCGCGCTGTGCCCCGCCGCCGAGGCCAGCGCCACGGTGCCGTCCAGCGTGGCAAAGGCCACGCGCGGCGCGGCGCTGGGCGCGAAGGCCGCGCCCACCACCGCGCCGCACCCCGCGCGCCCGGGGCAGCGCCAGGCGGGGCCGCCCGTCGCACGCAGGTCCCACAGCGCCAGCGCGCCCCCTGCGTCGCCCGCGGCCACGAGGTGGGGCTGGGTGGGGTGCACCCACACGCCCTGCACCGCCGGCGCGGGGGACTGGGGGCCCAGCTCCTGCGCGGGGCAGGCGCCGGGTGCGGCGCGCGCGTCCCAGGCGGCCACGCCGCCGGCGGCGTTACCCGTCAGGAAGGTGGACCCCGACGGCGGCGCGTCGGCGCACGTGAAGCGGCGCGATGGCTCGGGGTCTGAGGCTGGCGCGAGGAGCTGGGTGCCGGGGTGGCGCCGTGGCGCGGCGCCCAGGTCCACCAGCCGGGCCCCGCCCTGCCAGTCGACGCAGACGGCCTGGGCGCCGGCGCCCAGGAGCGCCAGGCCGGTGGGCTGGGCGCCGCGGGCGGTGTGCAGGGGTCCCAGCCGGCCGGCGGGGACGCCCTCGCCGGAGGCCTTGGGGGGGAGGGGGTCAAGGATGTTGGGTTTGAGGGGGGTGGCCAGGCACGAGTGCGGCCAAGATGATGGGGTGGGGTTGAGATGCCCAGGGCGACATTGTGCGGAGTCTTTGAACATGATGGGGGAGACCAGAGCAGGAGGGGAAAGTAGCTGGTCTCCGGGTGTCAGGGACTCCATGGCACGCCGTCTGGCACCTCCTCATACCCAGGGCACGCTTTGGTGAGCACCGAACTCCCCCTCCCCCACAATCCCTCCCTCCCCGTACCTGCATGCCATGGAGGGACTCTGCCCCTCCCTCGGGTAGCGACAAGCGTAGGCAGCACAGGCTGCCCGCCCTCGTGAGCGCCACAACATGTCGCTGGCTGGCGTCGGTCCCGTACACCCTCAGGCCCACCACCTTGCCATCCACTGTCAGGGAGGCCAGGGAGGACAGTGACGGCCCGGCCTGGTGGCCGCCGTGGAGGCTCACCAGGCTCACGCGATGCTCCTGCTCAGGTAGTCGTGGAGGGGCACCTTCAAGATCCAATGCCATCTACCCTCAGTCCCCAGATAAAGCGCATGATCGGATCTGAGACTACCATAATATCGAATTCGGCGCACCTGGGCATCGGTGGACCAGGATCCTACGGCGAGGAGGCTGGTGTGCGGGTACTGGGGGACGGGGATCAAGGCAGCAGACGTGCACGATTCTCCCAGGAAATGCCGTGAGAGTCGAGGCTCCGTCATCCTGTGTCGCTCTCGTGAATGCTCGTCGCAGATGGACTTGCAACGTGAGACAAAGAGGGCTACAGACACATCCACTGTGTGGGGTGGGTCTGGGTACAAGTCAGGGCGCGAGAACTCCATGCACATCATTCTCGCAAGCGAGCCAGACACGAGACAAATGAATTCTGACGTTGGCTTTGGGATTTTTCGTGTATGAATTGGCAGATCATATTGTCAGTCCCTCACTGCCACCATTTTCCATGAGCAACCTCGAGCAAGTGATCCGGGAGGCCACGAGCAAGCGACACCCTGCTGTTCCTGCAAGCGAGCTCCGCGAGATCAAACAGGCTTGTAGATTCTCACCGGAAAATGTGCCCTTGGCGTTCCAGCTCCTGCTTACGAGGTTGCGGGAGCCAAACCTCCAGGTGTGGTGCTGATTGTTATGCGAGGCTACGACACACGCCTGCAAGCCTCATGCACAGAGGACAACTGCCTGAAGCCGTGAACCCCATGTCACACAAAGGTTCGTCTGAATGTTCTGAATATCTGTGCGGAGCTCATGGAGCGGTCCGGGACCTTCAGGACCATTATGGCAGACGGGGTTCAAGAGGTGAGTGGTGACCCATTCTCGTGCCTTGTATGGGGAGCAGTGAAGAACCACTGCCTTATGTCAGCTGGCAACCCCGCCAGCGCAGATTATCTCCAACCACATGCCACATGCACCTGTGCCGTGCAGGTCTTGGAGCTGTGCATCGGGTATTCGGCTGGCAAGCCTCCCAGCCCCGCACCCGCCGGTGTGGCGAGCGAGCTCGTTTCCAGGGCTCTGGAGCTCTTGTTCCAATGGACCACCAAGTATGCCACAAAACATGTGCAGGTGAGGCCTCAAGTTGCGTGGGTCCTGGTGATAGCCGGAGCGCCCTTGCTGTCAAGCTTGCAGGCTGGGGTGGTGCTCCTACATCCTACCATTGGGTGGCATGCCTGCAGATCGACCCCACCCGTCCGGCCCCACTCACACTTTGTGCTGCCCACACACCTACACGATGCACAGTTGCTGCTCAGCTACATGTACCTCAAGAACAAGCTCAAGCTTCCTCTGCAAGACCTGCCGGTGCAGCTAGCAGCCTCTGCCTCCCCACCCTCTCAGCCCAGCCCTGCAGCCCTGCGACATCAGAGCGAGAACTGGGATGAGATCGTGTACTCGGCCAAGTCCACTGTCCATGAGTTGGTACGTGTGGATGCAGCTGGGCGTTTGATGGACTTTGGGACTTTCAGACAGCGCACAGGTGTCTCATATTGCTGCAAAGCTGGCAGGCTGCGCCCAAAGCATGGTCCGATCCTCAGGCGAGGATTGTGTGCTCAAATGCCCATGCACACTGTTTTGCCCGGCAGACGAGCCATCTGGCGGCCCTGAGCGCGGTGTGCGGGCTGGACGCTCCTGGCGAGGATGATGCTGGGCAGGATTGGGAGGATGTGGAGGAGGCGGGCCCATCCTCTGCCGTGGCAACGGAGGGGACAAGTACCTTGAAGACGGCCTGGCCCAGATTCGACCCCGGACGGGTGGACCTCGCCATTGCTGGCCCGCTCCTGGACCAGGCGGCAGCTGCGCGGCAGCTGGTCGTACAGGAGCTGGTGCCCGTGCTCCGTGCCGAGCTTGCAAGGGGCGGTGCGCATGGCGCCGAGGCCGGCCCCCTCCTGTGCGGTCTGGAGGAGGCCTCGCGACAGCTGGACCTCCCGGGCATCGCCGCGCTGGCCGAGCGCTGGCGGGCGCTGAAGGGCGCTGCGACCGAGGCGGGGACCGAGCGGGCAGAGGGATCGCCGCCGACAGGATCCAGGGCTGCACTGGGCGCCGCACCGGGCGGCAAGGAGGCGGCCGGCCGCGGGCAGGCTCCCACCACAAAAGGGCTCGGCGGGCGGATGCCCCGCGTGCCTCCTTCCCAACTCCCCGATGCAGACCCCTATGCTGGGATCGTCGATCCGGCTGCCCCCCGGTCCGGGCCGCACTCAATCGCGAAGGCTGTGGTGGAGCCGGCCGCCGTCGCAGCCAGGGCACCCAGCGCCAAGCAGCCGTCGCTGCCGGAGGAGGTGCGCCGACGGCTGGCCGAGCAGGCGCCGACCCTCCCCACCGGCCTGCACACCCAGTTCTGGGACAGCTCGCAGGCGGTGTCACTGACGAGCGGCACGGCTGAGGTGTACAATCACTGGGGGGCTGTGGACGTCGCCAA